TTTTCCAATTTGGGCCCAATCCTTCATTAGGGCCTTACCCTAAAGCCCAACTAAATATTCTAGTCCATAATTATTCTTGGATGGCCCATTATTGGCCCAATTACCAATTACCCAATTGAAAATCCCAACTCAAGGCCCATGTGACAATAGGGTTTCACATAAAATGACAATTAGGGTTAAGTGTTTCTTACTTAACCCATTAAGGGCTTAACCCACTAAGGACTTAATCCATTAAGTCCATTATCACTTAGATTAATTTATGCCAAAGATTGTTATTTAATATTTCACTTATTAAATAAGTCTCGTGTGTATCCTGATAAATTCTCAAATATTAGGATTTTCTCAATTAGTCCATTAAGTCCTTTACTTTACTAGATAAATGGCCTGGAATAGTTTGGGCTTAATTCACAATCCAATCCCAATGGCCCAAAAATGGTTCCAAATAAGTTCAAGGCCCAAATGCTCATAATTAGGGTTTTACACCCAAACATGACCCAATAGGCCCAAAACCAATATCTAAGCCCATTAGGGTTTGCTAGCGGGGCACCACCCAATACCACCTCGGGTAGTGGTGGTCAATGGCGGTTCGAGGTGGCGGACACCACCTTACGGTGGTGGTTTACTTCATTTTCATTGTTATCAAATTACATTTTACAAGGCTAAAATCTCAATAACCACACACACACACACACACTAAACTAATCACACACACACAGCCACACCATGGCGGCTGACGGTGGCTCGTGGCGGCGATGGCTATTCCTGGCTTTACGACTAAACAAAACTACATACAACACATACAATCTCATAACTGTTAGGATAGTGATAACACATGAATACACACCCAAAACTACACCCACAGCCATCTCCCACAGTGGCTGGTGGCGGCGGACAAAGGCAGAAACGACAGCGGCGGTCTAGTTGTTGGCATCACCCTTGGCGACCAATCTGAGTGGTGACAGACAACGACCACAGTTTGGAACGAATCACCAGCGAATGGAAGAAAGGGGGTGGATCCGTGAGCGACAGAAGCAACGGCAGGAGGCGCTCCGTCCTTGTCTTCAGCAGCGATGGTCGTTAGGCGGCAAGGATGGAGGCAAGGGATGCACATGATTCACCGACCGGGAAACGACGATAGCGATGTCCTGGTTCTTTCTTCATCCTCTTCTGTCCCGACACCCAACAACCGGATCTTCGGACCTTCAATCATGGCGTCTCCGATATCGACATTGTGGCTCTTCGATGGCGAAAGGCAGCGATAGCATCCTCGACACGCAACTGCGGCTGGGTGGCTTCCGTTCCTCGGTGGCGCTAATGGCCGGAGCTGATAGAGGCGATTGAGAGGGGTAGAGAAAAGAAGTGGCGACTGATGAAATCTCATAGGGTTTCAGGGTTTCGGGGAGTAATGACGGGTTATATACCCGGTGCCTTGAAACACATTCCCATATTAACATAATCGATCCCTCCTTCCTTCTTTTCTTTCAAAATAAGTTCATAATTTACACTTTTAACGCTTCCTTCAGAAATCTTTACAAACTAACTCCAAAACTTACATTTTAAGCCTTGATCCCATAAATTTCTTTCATAATGACTCCCTAAATTACCAATAAACCCTTTAGCCTTCAAATATTTTCAATTTAATCCTGAACTTACTCTTTTAACCCCGACTTCTAAAATTCTTCACAAATTAGTCCGGGACTCACATTTACTAATTTATTTAAATAAACGGGACGTTACATTAATACTCACTCTTTAATGACTTGTCTAGGACATTGAACCAGTTGATCGACCTAAAGAAGTCATACATTTATAGGAGTTGATATCAAAGAAGAAGATAAGAAGATGAAGTTTCAAAACCTAGGAAATGTTTTTTATATGTCCAACTAATGCCATGTAGGAGCCCACACGGCTGCCACATCACACACTTGACACGTCATCTCCATGCTATTGGGTAATCCAGATGTATGGTCAACATTGCACAAAAATAGATAATGCAATTTTCAATTTAAAAAAAATGAAAATAAAATAGTGTTAAAAAAAAAGACAAATTAAATATAATACCTTTTGTGACCTTTATAAAAAAAGAAACAGAAAGGAACATTAAAATGAATTAAATATAAATATCTTTTGTTACCTTTAAACAAAAATAACACTAAAATGAATTCAAAATCAACAATTCAACATATGTTAAATGTAGGATCACTTTCAATTTTTTAAGAGAAAATTCCTGAAATGACAAAAAATGGGAGGTTGTTTGAAGTAAATAACCAATTAAGAAAAAAAAAGATTTCGGAAAATGACCAAAGGATCCGCAGAGCACCCTCTGCGGATCCATTAAAGGCTCTGCGGATCCTCTACAGCTCTGCAGAATCTTTGTTTTTTGATTTTTTTTTTTTTCGTTTTTGATTTTTTTTTTTGCATTCACTTTCAACTATTAATATATATATATATATATATATATATATATATATATATATATATATATATATATATATATATATATATATATATATATATATTTAAATACACTAATACCTTATTTGATTATTATGTAAAAAATTCTACAAAAAATGGTTAAAAATAATGAAATGTTTTATGTAATACGTTTGCATCTGAGGAACCGGAACACCTCTGCGGATCTTGAGTTTTTTAATTTTAATATTTTCGTTTTTTCTATTTTTGTTTTTGTTTATTAATATTAATTTTTTTAATACACTAATACCTTATGTTTTAAGTAAAAATTTTGACAAAAAAGGTTAAAAATAATGTTTTCGTTTATTATATTAATTTTTTTAATACATTAATACCTTATGTTTTATGTAAAAATTTTGACAAAAAAATGTTAAAAATAATAATCTTATGTTTAATATCAGTCCACAGAACTGTTTGGAAATCTACAGAACTGTTATTAGCGGATCAGTGTATAAATTGTCATACCGGTTAAATATTGTATCAACTCACCCGGATAATGAAAAATATAGAAATGGCCTCCAATGCACCAATTTCTACGAATGCAACATCATCGTCCGATACTCCACGTCCATGGACGACAAGAGGGTTGATGGTTATAATACGATGTTGGTTGAACATTTTTGAAGGTGTAACAACAATGATTACCCCTAATTACCTTGGAGGTAATGAATGGACCCACATAACAGGTATGTTCAACCTCTCATGTGGACAAGGAGAATATCAAGTACAAGTAGATATTCTTAGTAAGTGAATGGAGTTAAAGAACAAAATCACATGGTTCAATCGATGATATCATCATCTTAAAAATAGTAGTAATTATTATTACTCAAACGAGGAAGCTCTTGTAAAAATGATTTTAGATCATTACATTTTCGAGCATGAGGGAAAAGACATCGAGTATTTGGACGCTTGGAATCTGGTTAAGAACCACTAGTATTTCATGTAGAAGGGGTTTTTTTATGTGAAATGTTTATTGTAATATGTTTGTTACTGATGTATGTTTTCCATGTATTTGCATTGTTTTGAATTTTATGTTCTATGGAATAAAATAGAAATTAACTCAACTGGTTTCGTAAATAATCTAATACAAGCCAAATACATATAAATAACGTAATACAAACCGGTGCATATAAATAACCTAATAAAAACAAACTACATTAAAATATCCTTCTACAAACCCAATACAAATTAAAAATACGGGAGATCTTTTAAGAGATTCCAAGGGTCTTCAAACTCGAATTCTAACCCGTCACTAATGGATATGTATTTCGCTTTCGCCGCGTCCAGGATGACTTCCTCATCTTCATTCGGACGTGCGTCATCGATTTTGGTATAAAGATTGTTGAAAACCAAGACTTCCGTTTTTAATTCATACCATTTTGTTGTGATGTCAACGGTATTGCGATAGTTTTCTGGGGCACTTTGAGGGTCAGCATTGAAGGCATAAGTTAAACGGGTCCAATAACTTGGATCATTCACCCTGGTGGTCTCATGGATATTAATATATGCACGAGTTAAACGGAGGTTATCCTCAGCGCTCCATGGTATGGAAGCCATTATGACGGAAAACAGGAGGGTTAAATTTTCAAAAAAAAAAAAAAAAAAATGAAATCAAGAAGAAATGGTACAGAATCGATGAAAGGATACACATGGTAAAGTGATTTTATGTTACTTATTCTGCAGAGTTTTTCTTATTTAATTACCCGTTTAAAAAAGTTATGTGTTTAATAACTTCTATGTTGTTGTCATTGTTGTTCGGTATGTTGCGTCAATTGGTTCTCAGGCTCACAAAAAATCACTTAAATACGTCTATAACTTCTATAGCTGATCTGCAGAGGTGTACACTGATCCGCAGAGGTGTACACTGATCCACAGAGGTGTACGTTGATCTTTTTTCTTATTTAATTACCTGTTTAAAAAAGTTGTGTGTTTAATAACTTTTATAGTTGCTGCTGCCATTATTGTTCGGTATGTTGCGTCCATTGGTTCTCAGACTCACAAAAAACCACTTAAATACATCTATAACTTTTATAGCTGATCTGCAGAGGTGTACACTAATCCGCATAGGTGTACACAAATCCGCAGAGGTGTACGCTGATCCGCTAATAACAGTTCTGTGAATTTCCAAACTGTTTTATGGACTGATATTAAACATAAGTTCATTATTTTTAACATTTTTTTGTCAAATTTTTTACATAAAACATAAAGTATTAGTATATTAACAAAAAATTATATTAATAAACGAAAACAAAAATAGAAAAACAAAAAAATTAAAAATTAAAAAACTCAAGATCCGTAGAGGTGTTCGGGTTCATCAGATACAAACGTATTACATAAAACATTTCATTATTTTTAATCTTTCTTTGTAGAATTTTTTACATAATAATCACATATGGTATTAATATATTTAAAAATAATAATAATAACGAAAATGAACGCAAATAATAATAATAATAATAATAATAATAATAATAATAAAATATAAAAACAAAATTCCACAATCCAAGAGCCTTTAATATCCCCAGATTGTTTGATATTTTCCCAAAATATGAATTTGGACCGCATATTTGTGTACCGCTTGGAGCACATCTTGATTATGGGTGCTCTGGTCTGACTTCGCTCCAATTAAAGAAACCGATATGAGAATCGGATTTCCCAGATGGGTCTGTTCTTGCTCCTTCTTCTTGGGTCTTTTCCTTGTTGATTCAAAAACTCACACATCATTTCATGAAGAAGTCATAAAAAGATCAGATTTCCCAGATGGGTTTCTGTTTGGAGTCGCTACTTCAGCCTACCAAGTATTCTCTACTCTGTTTCTTCTCTTTCAGTTTTCTGATAGCTGAGTCAGCTAAACTCACCAATGAATTTCTATTACTTCATCTAGATTGAAGGGGCATATCTTGAAGATGGTAAAAGTCTCAACAATTGGGATGTATTCGCTCTTTCCCCAGGTAACAAAATCAATCAATTGACAATTGAGTGTTCAATTGATTCATCTTTACATTATCAGATTAGGTTAACTATAACGTTGCAATGTTTAGGCAACATTGAAAATGGCGACAATGGATTCATAGCTGATGATCATTACCATCGATATCTGGTATCTTAAACTTTTGACAATGGATAACAACAACATATAACTTTCACATCTCTTCTAATCTTATTTCTAATCAATCGATTGTTGCAGGAAGATATTAACATAATACAGTCACTTGGTGTAGATGCTTACCGCTTCTCTATATCATGGTCAAGAGTTCTTCCAAGTATGATTAAAATTCAACATTTCTCATAAAAAAGGATTAAGAACTTCCATTTCTTGATAGAAGATCTTGTTGAGTTATATCAGGAGGAAGATTCGGCGATGTTAATCCAAATGGGATTCTGTTCTATAACAAAATCTTGGACAATCTCTTATTCAGAGGTAAAACGCTAAACTTTTAACTCCTTTTATGTCAATTCTTCATGAAAATTACATACTTTAAACACATAAATTTTCAACTAAAACAGGAATTAGACCATTTGTAACAATTTACCATTACGACTTCCCCGAAGAACTTGAAGATCGATACGGGTCTTGGCTCAGCCCGTTAATGCAGTATGTGGAAAAGAATCCGATCTTCTATTCGATTAAAATAAACGCTAAATTACTTTCATGAAATATATAATCTATTGTAGGGAAGATTATGTGCACTTTGCAGAAACATGTTTCAAAAACTTTGGTGATCGAGTGAAGGATTGGTTCACTATGAATGAGCCAAATTTGTTTACACAAATGGGATACGAGAAAGGAACGTATCCACCCTCTCGTTGTTCACCACCTTTTGGCAATTGTTCATCTGGAAATTCTGATATCGAGCCTTTAATTGTAATGCATAACATGTTATTGGCACATGGAAAAACAGTGAAGCTATATCGAAGAGATTATCAGGTAATTACGTAATTTTTTTTTTCAAACAGGTTTGTTTAACCACTAAACTTTCAATTTTTTTTCCATTGTTATGAAAGTTTGTATCTTTTTTGTAAATATTTGTAATTTTTGTTAACATGGCGCTGATGTCGACATACGACATAGCATGTGTCTTGAAACAATTTCATTAAATAATAACCAAGCTTCAAGCTTTCAGCTTTCGTTTTGATATAGTGAAAATGTTGAAACATTAAAAGGACAATGTTTCATTGTTTTGAAATTTTTTTGATATACTCATATCAATACTGATATTAGTATTGATGTTTCATCGTCGCGCTTAAAGTCAACTTAAAGTTGACTTTTTTCTTGCATGACGAACATCCTTTGACTAGATTAACATACATGCAGCATGAACAAGGTGGATCAATCGGGATTGTTGTAGATTGTTTCATGTATGAGCCTCTAACAGATAATGATTTTGATCAAGAAGCCGCTAACAGGATCTTGGCTTTCAATATCGGCTGGTATATATATATATATCCGTATACGCACTTAACTTTGAAGATGAAATCAAGATTCTTTTTTTCTTTAACTTGTTATTATTAGGGCATTGGATCCACTAATTTTTGGTGATTATCCATCTGAAATGCGCAAGTATCTTGGAGATCAATTGCCAAGATTTTCTAGTGACGAAAGGAAGTTTATGAAAGATGGAATTGACTTTATAGGAGTCAACCACTATGCTACTCTATATGCAAAAGATTGTATTCATTCAATTTGTAGTTTAAGTGGAAGTCGAGCAATCCTAGGTTTTGTGGATGCAAGTAAAGAGAGAGATGGTATTCCGATTGGTGCGCCAGTATGTATGATATGTGTGAAATACCCGTTTTGCCCCTCGTTTACTATGGGCGTGTTTGGCACAAAGCTTTTGGAAGCGTTTAGGAGCTTCTAGCTTTTAGCTTTTGACAAAACGCTCTAGTTTAAACAAAAAGCTTCGTTTGGCAGTACGAGCGTTTAACTTTTAGTTTTATTAAAACGCTCCGATTCTAAAAGCTATTTCATGTAGCTTTTAACAAAACGCCCCGGAGCTTTTGAAATCAATTTTCATAATTACCCTTAAAAATATATTTATATACTTTTTTATTTTTAATCAATTGTCCTTTTATGTAATTTTATATATTTCAAAAGTTTCCAGTTCCTTTTGTCAAACATTCATATAACAAATAAAAACTACAGCTTCCCGCTACCAGCTATCAGCTACATGCTACTAGCTACCCGTTTCCAGCTAACAGCTACTTTTACCAAACACGCCCTATTGCTTTTTTTTTTTTTTCATTGTTTAATTAGTTGTGTTGGTAGACAGGATTGGGATCATTGCGTGTAGTTCCAAGAGGCATTAGGGAAGTGATAGAGTATCTAAAGAAGAGATATCACAACAAACCCATGTTTGTTACTGAAAACGGTATGCAAATTTGGGAATTTTGACTTTTTGGATTTGGTCAATCCTAATTGCTACAACTCTTAAATTCAGTATAGATATGGATTTTGTTGCTAAATTAAACTGCAAGAATACGTTCAATTTTGAAGTTAAATTTATGTAGGGTATTCTGATCCGAAAGTTGATGATCAAGTTCAAAATATACTTCAAGACTTCGATCGAATAGAATTTCATAAAATGTACATGTCGTCTTTGGCCCAAGCGATCAGGTGATTATATTATATTTATACAAAATTACAAAAATGGTCCTTGTGGTTTGCCAAAAGTCACAAAGGCAGTCTCTGCTAATTTTTTTTTGATGCAAATGGTCCTTGTGGTTTGTAAAATTTGCAAAGTTGGCCCTTTTTACTAACACCGTTAGTAAAACGCTGTTAGGGACTGAATCTGTAAGGGCATTTTCGTCTTTTCAAGTATAAAGGGATTGAATTTGTGACATTTAATAAACCACAGGGACCATTTTTGAAAATTCTTTGAAAAAATGAATTAATTTGATGAAAGAAAGAGGGAAGGTTCGAACTCACAACCTCCAACTTCCTTTATCGCCAAAGCCTTAACCAGTTGAGCTAAATGCTCAGCTGGTTATTTGTTCCTAAAGCTAATATATATAATAATGAAACCGTTAATATTTAAATAATAAATAAATTAAAAAAACATTTTTTTTACCTAATTTCTTTTTAATAAAACAAAATGTATTTTAGTCCTATTATAAAGAAATATATTTTTACAAACAATTTTTATGTATTTGTTTTATGTAAAATATATTTTTTATGTCTTTAAAATATACATTTTTGTATAAAAAATATGTTTTCGTAAAATATATTCTTTTATGACTTTGAAATAATAATAATTAATACTACTCATTACATAAAAAATATATATAAGTTCTTTTGGGTCGCTAGTTCTCAAATACGTAATTCATCTTATTTAACATACATATTTCATTTTATTTAAAATACGTATATCATCTTTATTAAATACATATAACCGAAAAATGGTTTTAAAAAAACCGATTGAACCAATCGTTTTGTAAAAACCGTTTTTTTTTTTTTTTTATTGTTGTTGTTTAGATACATAACAAAATCGTTGTTAAGTTGTTTTTAATACACATAACCGAAAAAAATATGTTTTTGTAAAATATATTCTTTTATGACTTTGAAATAATAATACTTAACACTACTCATGACATAAAAAAATATATATATAAATTCTTTTTGTTTGCAAGCTCTAAAACCGGTTTTTCGGTTATGTGTATTAAAAACAACTTAACAACAATTTTGTTATGTATCTAAACAACAACAACAACAACAAAAAAAAAAAAAAAAAAAAAAAAAAAAAAAAAAAAAAACGGTTTTTACAAAACGATTGGTTCAATCGGTTTTTTTAAAACCATTTTTCGGTTATATGTATTTAATAAAGATGATATACGTATTTTAAATAAAATGAAATATGTATGTTAAATAAGATGAAATACGTATTTGAGAACTAGCGACCCAAAAGAATTTATATATATTTTTTATGTAATGAGTAGTATTAATTATTATTATTTCAAAATCATAAAAGAATATATTTTACGAAAACATATTTTTTATACGAAAATGTATATTTTAAAGACATAAAAAATATATTTACGTAAAATAAATACATAAAAATTGTTTGTAAATTTTTTTTATAATACGATTAAAATACATTTTGTTTTATTAAAAAAAATTAGGTAAAAAAATGTTTTTTTAATTTATTTATTATTTAAATATTAACGGTTTCATTATTATATATATTAGCTTTAGGAACAAATAACTAGCTGAGCATTCAGCTCAACTGGTTAAGACTTTGGCAATAACGGGAGGTGGAAGTCATGAGTTCGAACCTTCCCTCCTTCCTTCAGCAAATTAATTCATTTTTTCAAAGAATTTTCAAAAATGGTCCCTGTGGTTTATTAAATATCACAAATTCAGTCCCTTTATACTTGAAATGACGAAAATGCCCTTACAGATTCAGTCCCTAACGGCGTTTTACTAACGGTGTTAGTAAAAAGGGCCAACTTTGCAAGTTTTACAAACCACAAGGACCATTTGCATCAAAAAAAAATAAGCAGGGACTGCCTTTGTGACTTTTGGCAAACCACAGGGACCATTTTTGTAATTTTGTCTTATATTTAGGTCTTAACATTTTCTATTATAGATAAAGTGATACCTGGATAAATGATGTTTAAAAAAATATTTGAGAAAATAATGACACACACAAAAAATCCATAGGACTGAGTTGGGTAGCGTTGTCGAAAATACCCGAATTACCCATCCGATTTTTTCGGGTATCGGGTAAATTTTTCCGGATAATCGGGTTACCCGATTATTTCGGGTCGGGTAAAGGGTAAATTTTTTTGGTTTCGGGTATACCCGAATTACCCAAATTATTTTAAATTTTTTTTTTTTTTTTTTTTTGTAGAGCTTGTACTATATAGCAGGTATTTGATCACGCTTAAACTAACTATCATTATTGTAAAACGTAAATATATTTATTATGACAATACGACACTAACAATATTAAAAGTAATTTTTATATATCATTACGTTCTTTAAAACTTAACTGTTTTCTAAATTATAGTTTTTATTTCAACTAACAAACTCATTATTTTGACGAAACTTCAAAACATGGCAAAACTTATGGCTACATTTATCTTAAACATTTTAAACTTTTAAATTAAGATCTTTAGGTATTTGTTTTTTTTTTTTTTTAACATCTTATTAGATTAGATTAAGTTGTTAAAAAATTACTTGATATCCATGTATTAGTGACTAAAAAATCTCAATGTTCAAAACTTGAGTAACTTCGTTTATATCTCGTTTGTTTATATAAACAAGACTAATAAAGCACGACGTATTTATTTCATTAAATTTATTTTCAGGTGAAATTCAAAAAAAAAAAAATTATATATTTCGGGTAATACCCGAATTACCCGAATTTAGTTTGGGTAAGATAACGGGTAATTTTTCTAACATGAAAAACCCGAATTACCCGAAACCCGAAAAAATTACTCGTTCAACACCCCTAAAGTGGGGTATATCTTACAATCTCATGTATTCGACTTTCTTTCTGCATTGAGTCAAAAACGAACACCCATACATAAATTGTTTTGCATGGTCGAATAATTTATAAAAAAAATGGTGGACAGGGATGGAGCGGATGTGAGAGGCTATTTTGTGTGGACATTAATGGATGATTTTGAATGGAGACTTGGGTACACTCCAAGATTCGGATTATACTACATTGATCATCAAACACTCAATCGTATCCCAAAATTGTCTGCAAAATGGTACCAAGATTTCCTGAAAAACAATACCCGGGCACTAGAAATCCAAGATTCATAAAATATTCAAACTTTTATATAATTCGCATATGTATTACAAGATATTTGATTGGTTTGTTGTATCATATGAGTAGTGTGTCTTGTTGACTATGGAACATGATAGGTTTTGTTGCTACACATGCACTTGTAAGCAATTGGACAAGTCTCGGCCTCGGCGGGTCCCATAGAACAAATGAACCGCACCCTAACCAAATGGCAGGGCGAACAGGAACCGCATGCATGTAGACAGTCTGGCAATCTTGAACCCGCGATTTGTAGTGTATCTGCTCTATGTTTCACTATGTCTATCGCATCACCATGACCTATAAAGATAAGTAACATAAGATAAAGGGCTAATATCATAAATGGTAATAAACTATTTGAGATGTTCAAAAAAAAACATCATCGGGTTAAAGAAAAAGATACTAAAGAATTTAAGGTATTGAAATTTTTGTTCACAAAATACGCATTTGGTGAACCAAAATATTTCACTTGCTTACTTCCTTATGCTACTTTTATAGTACAATTGTGACTTTGAACCCTTTAAGATGAAAAAGAGAGCGACATGTCATAAACAAAGATGGGAATGATGACATAAAGAATTGAAAGGAATGAAAGGTTACCCATGAGAAGAAGACAGGATGCCAGGAGCACAGAAGAGAATAAATGGTTCATTTTTGCTAATTGTGTGTGTAAATTGGTGAAATGTGGGGGTATAAAAGGAAATTTGAAGAATAAAGTGAGTCACAAGGAAGTAGCTTTTCTCACAAGATAGAAATGCCTTCACATGGTTTTTTACCATGTAGTTATATCTAATGGACTAATGTTCAACCCATTCAATTTCAAGGCCGATTCCATGTTTAATTCGGTCACTATCATTCAATTCCAATGACATGTTTACTTCGGTCACTATCATTCTCCCTCCTTGTCCTACCCCAATTCATTTTTATAAAAGTAGGAAACATCAAATATTTTTTACTTTAAAACAAGAGCAAATAATAATTAAAATTAATTTGCTCATTGCTAATAATGATTTATTATTATTATTATTATTATTATTATTATTATTATTATTATTATTATTATTATCATCTTAAAATGTTAGTGTTGGTGTTAATTGTGTGCAAGTAAATGTACTTTTTATTCAAGCTTCATTTTGAGTAAATATTTTTAAAATTAATATAAGAGTATAATAATAAAATGACAAAACTTCATAAATGATCTTTATGGTATCTCAAAATCTGAAGTTTAGTCCCGATGTTTAAAAAACTTCACAAATGGTCATTTTCGCTAACTCCGTTATCTTTTGGCTGTTAAGTGAAGAGCATTTTCGTCATCTCGTACATTTAAGGATATTTAAATGCTATGGGCATGTATATATGTATTAAATCCATCTTTTTATCTTTCTCTTCTTCATCTCTTTTTCAATGTCATGTCACTACTCCTTTTTTTTTTTTAAACGACAAATCTAACTTACTCCTAAACTACACCTTAAATCTATTTATATCAACAACGGGACTTGAACTCTCAACCTCAAAAAAAAAAGGGGGCAACACCGGATACGGTTGGGCTACAAGCCCTTTGGTCCCTCTCTTTTTCTTGTCATGGTAAAGTTTATGTGGAACGCGTGGTCATGAAAAACATGACACAACTCTGTAGAGCCTAATACGAGTTTTCCATAACTTTATTAAAAATGTTTTTTATAAAAATGCATGTTAAGGCATATATACAAACATGGCATTCTCAAGATGATTTGAGGCCCGAGGCAAAAGCAAAAAATGTGACCCCTCAAAATTTAATAATAAAAAACCATAATACTATATATATATATATATATATATATATATATATATATATATATATATATATATATATATATAGGATTGTATTTGAAAGACACGAGTTAAAAAAAAAAACAAAACAATGACAAAACAAAATCAAAAATCCGAGTAATCGAACAACCAAACCATTTTGAAAAACGGTCAGGTGTTTGGAAAGAAAAATCTTATGTTGGTGAAAACAAAAAAAAAATGAAAAATGACCCGTCTAACCGGTTGGTTAATATGATTTTCGTTAAACAAACCTATAAATAATACTTATTATACATTAAAAGGCAATGCTAACTAGAAAATCTCATATATAAACCTGAATTTTAAGCATAATAATTGGTCATAAAAAAACTAAAGTTTTAATTGAAATAAGTGTTTGAATGGTTTGTCAAAAATCAAACGCGGGAAGAAAGTATGTTTATAATTTGGATGATTTATGTATAATGAAAAAAAGGAAGAATAATCCGTCTAAAAGGTTGATTAATATGATTTTCGTTAAAAAAACATATAAATAATAGTTATTATACATTAAAAGACAATAAAAATAGAAAATCACATATATAAACATGAAAATTATGCATGATAATCGGCCATAAAAACATTAAAGTTTTAAATGAAATAAATTTTAAGTGGTTTGTCAAAAATCAAAAAGAGTAAAAAATAATATTTCTATAATTTAGATAATTTATGTATAATAAAAAAGAATATAAGGATCATTTTTTTAATTTGGATTGCAATTCACTAAGTGAGTACATCGATATAATTCAAATCATATGAAAAAAAAATACTAGAAGAAAATGGGGCCCTCAATAAAATAAAGTAAATGCATAAAAAAATGCAAATTGGAAGATTCAAACCTCAGTATCATATCTTAAAGGATTATAAGTAACCAACTAAACTACAATACTTTTGTTAAATATGTTAAAAAGATGTGTATATATCTACAAAATATATAACATAATTAATTTTGGGACCCCAAACCGTAGTGAGACCCTGGGCCTTCACCCAGATTGCCCACCCTATTGGGCCGGGCTGTATACAAATAAAAATGCAAACTTAAAGAGAGATTTATTTTTGTAATTTAGTCTTCTATATATAACTAGATGATTGTTTAAACATTATATTAAATAATAAAATAAAATGATATTAGAATTATATTTATAACTATATTGTTAAAATTGACTAAGTAATTGTTATTAATATTTAAATAAGAGTTTTATATCAAATAAAAAATTTAATATTATACATCAGAAGGATATTTACTAAAAATTTAAAAGTTAAAGAATTATAATATTTTAACTATAAAAAAAATGCAGTTAACAAATACAAATATTTTGGGACTAACAATATAATCACTGTTATCTATATTCAAACATATACAAATATATTGGAACTAATTACATAATCACTGCTATTTATATTCGTGAATTGAATGTGAATAAAACGTAATTTCCGATTTAGTGTTACAAATTAAATATACTATTATTCGAACTATATGATATATATGAAATCTATTAATGAATTGCATACGAATAAAATTTTATGTAGTTTTTATTTAATGTGATTTATAGTTAATGTTGTTTTTAATTAATTTAAAAATTGACAAAATTGCAAAAATGGTTCCCGTGGTTTCTTTTTTTATGTGGTTATGGTCCAAACGTTTGAAAAGTTGCAGATTTGGTCATTTTCAACAAGTTTTATTGTGGTTTTGGTTCCTCATCCGTTAAGTTTAACTGGTTGGCTGTTAACTTTTTTAAAATGACATTTTTACCCTCAGGGACCATTTTCGCAATTTTATCTTATACCATACCATAAGGACCATTTTTGCATACATTCTTTTTTATTTTATTCTAGTATTATATTTTAATAAATATTATTTTTAATATATAATATTATATACTAACAAACATTGTTTTATTGGATTATTAATTTATTATAGTTGATTTTTTTTTTTTTTTTTTGTTAGGGTAATTCTTTTTATTGAGTTATTATATATCAATACATATAGTTTTTAATATATAATATTTATATCATAATAATAAATATTATATTATTAGATTATTAATTTCTTTTAGTTAATATTTTTAATTCTTTTTATTGGATTATTTCTTTTATTTCTTTTAATTTATTATTTTCTTCATATACTAAATATTGTTTTATTGAATTATTAATTTATTTTAACTAATTCTTTTTTAGAAAAAAAAAATTGTCGAAGTAATTATTTTTTATTAAATTATTATATATCAATATATATAGTTTTTAATATATAATATTTATATCATAATAAATATTATATTATTGGATTATTATTATCTTTTAGTTATTTTTTGTAATTTCTTTTGTTTTTTTTTAATATTTTTTATTGGATTATTACTTTTAATTTATTATTTTCTTCATATACTAAATATTATTTTATCGGATTATAATAGTAGTTCTTGTTAATTTTATTGGTTCCACCACAAAGTCATGGGATACGCAAAATCGTGGTCTCTCATCATCGAAATCGTTAGAATCGTTGCCAAACACTTCATTTCATCTAGCTTATAATGAGAAGCCATTGGGAAAATACCACCACCATCACCTGGTCACCACCACCACTTATAAATATTATCGAGGTTTGTTGTGCATTATGTGGGATATGAAGGATTCCAGTGGATTATAAAGAAGTTGTCGCAGGTGGCTACCAACAACGTTGGGTGGAATAACGTATAGTATCTATTGAACCTCCGATGAAGGTGTTTGGAGGTGATCCAGCTAATTTTTGATGATGATAATCAACACTTTTACGTATTTCGATGATTTTGTGGTGGAACTAATAAAATTAAAAACAATTAATAGTATACATTCAAAATAAAACAATAATCCAATAAGATAGTATTTATTATATTAAAATTATAATAAATAAAAAGTAATATCTCAATAAATTAATAATTCAAAAAAAAATACAAAAATTAATAATCCAATAATGTATTATTTATTATGATGCAAATATTATATATTAAAAATAATATTTGTTGATATATAATAATCTAATAAAAAATTACTCAAACAAAAAGAAATTATAAAAAGAATCAACTAAAAGAAATTAATAATCCAATAAAATAATATTTCATAACATAATATTTATTATGATATAAATATTATATATTAAAAACTATATGTACTGATATATAATAATTCAATAAAAAAGAATTACTTCGATAAAAAATTTTAAAAAAATAATTAGGTAAAATAAATTAATAATCCAATAAGACAACATTTAGTATATGAAGAAAATAATAAATTGAACGTAATAATACAATAAAAAATAATTAAAAATTACAAAAATTAACTAAAAAAATTAATAATCCAATAATTTAATATTTATTATGATATAAATATTATACATTAAAAACTATATGTATTGATATATAATAATTTAATATAAAAATTACTCCAACAATTTTTTTTTTTTTTAAAATCAACTAAAATAAATTAAGAATCCAATAAAAAATATTTATTATTATATAATGTTATATATTAAAAATAATATCTATTAATATATATAATACTTTATTAAAATAAAATAGAATATATGCAAAAATGGTCCTTATAGTATAGTAAAAGACAAAACTGTGAAAATGATCTCTGGGGTAAAATTGTTATTTTAAGAAACTTAACGGATGAGGGACCAAAACCACAACAAAACTTATTGAAAATGATCAAATCTACAACTTTTCAAACGTTTGGACCATAACCACCAAAAATAAAAAACCACGTGAACCATTACTTTGGTAGTTTTCAATTTCAATCACAAAGGTTTTTTTAGTAACTAATTTTCAAAAGCCTGTGTAATTTAAGTACCACGACACAAAGTACTTTCTAACGAGAAATTCAAGCCTAATTTGAGAGCTCGACAGAATAGGTCTAAATTGTCTGTCTTCCATTGATAAAAGAGTTCTATTTAAGTTGATTTTAGATTCCACGTGTAACAATGGCGGTTGAGGTAGTTGGTGGTGCTACATTCATTGCTCCCAATCACAATGCTTCAAAGCACCAACAATGGCCCAAGAGTAATTATCAAGTAATCTCTCTCATACTCGACACAGAAATACGGTAAGTAATCTGTCATCATCGGAATCAGTACATAAG